CCACTGAGCCATCTCCCTGGCCCCAAAAATATTTGTTATTGAAATACCGATAATTTATTCACAAGTTCATTAAACCTAAAATTAATGGACTATAAATGCAATATAAGCACTACAGAAAAAAAGGTATCTTTAAGTTACTACTCAGGCTTTAGAGAAAAGGCAGGCAGGGGCGCCTGCAAGTTAGCTCAGTTGGTTAAACACCTACTTATGCTAACGCAGTCACGCACAGGATACCGCGGGGGTTCGATCCCCAGCTCCACATGCCTTACCAGACCGCCCTTAAGGCAGCCTGAGCCTGCCAAAAAAACCTGAGGGAAAAGGAAGGTAAGGACTCCCAAGCTACCATGTAGCCAGCACTCTTCCAGTGAAACACATGGGTGCCTTATGGCATCAAACAATAACAGCAATTGCACACAATACATTTCTAAAAAAAAAAACTATAATAATTTCTAGAAAAGTCTATGCTGGATAACAGGACTTATTTTAGGCCTTCTGTAAAACTGTGAAAGAATAAGATGTTATTTATGTCAAGATGGGTACTTCTCCAGGCTACCAAATTCAAAATTATTTCCAAATACGTAAAATTTTATTAAGATCTTACATTAGACAGCTATGAATATAGACTTTCATGTATGAAGGCCTCCTTCTTTGCCAGATCCCCTATTTCTGAAGAGAATTATTATGAATGCTGAATATTAAAAAAGAAATTTGCAGGCAAATTCCTAACTGTAGAAACTAGAGGAACAGTTGCATAGATCTGAATGACCGCTTTTTCTCAGAATTTTTCGAGCTGAATTACAAAGAGGCATGAATAGGAAACGTCAACAAATCAACGATATTTTAAATCTGTCAGTCCATATTTCTAAGAAAGAAGCCGGAGTTTTAAGTTTTCTTATTTTTTTATTCTCTTTCTGAAAAAGTTGCCACAGATGGGATGGGAACAGCGCAGAGGCAAATGATCTGGATTGGGCAGAGCCTGCGCAGCTCTGTGTCTGGTGAGGTGTGAGGTGGAAGAGAAAGCTCGGAAACACTAAGACAGCCATTTCTTTCTCTTTTTTTGGTCTGCAGATCAAACTCAGTACCTTGCTCTTGCCAAGCAGATAATTACACTGCTGAGCTATCTCCCTGGCCCAATCAACCCATTTCTTGCAACAGAACAAAGAAGTATTTTCCAGTTTAACATGAGAAATAGTCTAATATTCAGAAATATATTTGAAAATAATTTTAAGTATAATTTTCACATTTTTTTTTACAGTACAAAACACAACCATGTACAGCTAACTCAATGTTGTACTACCAGCCATTTAAGCTTATCATTTGGTGGAGGCCTTTTGCTTCCAAAAAACCCTCCAGACTTGTAAAAGTTCTTTATAGGCTGACAAGATTAGCTTCTGATATAAGGTTAGGTTTTGACCTAAAAATTTAATCACCACATGGTTTTGGTTATAGCACTTACACAGTGAATTCTGCTGAAAACAATCGTCATCTCTTTTAAAACCTCCTCCTGTTATTACTTGCGCATCCCCAGAGCCCACCAGAACCGTCTGCTGGCCCGCGGCCAGGGCCGCAGGAGCCACCGTGCTCACCATGTGGGTGCTCAGCTGCTCCTTGGCCGTTTCCGGTAGACCGCCCAGAGGCTTCGATGCCAGCAGGTGACGCTCCGTGTCAGTCAGCCACTGCTGCAGATCCTCAATTTCACCATGGAAGCCTTTGGCCTGAAGTGACAGAAGGGTTCAAATTTGGTCACTTGCAGGGAGAACACAGTGTTCAAACAGTCCCTGCCTGCTCCTCTTCCTCTGTCTTGACTGCCACGTATCACCTGATTTGCCTGCTTTCATCAGGACTGGAGTATTACGCCAAGAACTAGACTAATACCTCTCTGCTGTTGTTCTTTATCCCACTTATCCTCACTCCTCTTCTTAAAACTAAACAGCAATCTGTGAAGTAAAAGAAGATATCCATGTTCTTTTGGTCCTGAAAACCACAGTAAGTTCCCGAATCTATTACTTTTGATCACCTGGCGCAAGGCACTGTCTAGCTGCAGCTTCCTTTGTTCGGTTTTCTCCAAAACGTTCTGCCAACGCTGATTTAAAACCTCCAGCTTGTGCCGAAGGTTGCTTGCTTCTTCTCCTGCGCTTGATTCAATTAGATCACTTCCTGCTTTATTGACAGCTTCCACCGTGGACTGATGGGCTAAGACATCATTTTGGAGCACCTGAAAACATTAAGATGATACGTTCACTAGTTAGTACTGCATCAGCTTTAATGTAACTGTTTTCTTTGCTGGTTATGGAACATTCTGAAACAGCCTCTGAAGTTTTCACACGGAACTTTAAAATGATGAGCTAACTTCCTTTACCTTTAACTTGGTAGCTTTCCTAGATATACCTTTAGCTTATCAACACTTCCTGAAACAATTCTGTGAAAATGTTTTGCTAGTCATTCTCATTATGACTATGCAATTGATATCTACACAAGAGACTATAATTAAAAGCTTCTAAAATTTATTTATACTGTTTAATTAAACCAATTTCTCATGTTTGAATTTAAGACACTTTTACTACTACTTACTCATTTTCAAGTATAAAATTATCCCACATCTAAGACACACACATTTTACAGTCAGCAGCCCTTAAAGGAAGAAAGTGCCCACTGACTATTCCCTTCTCTTCTCTCACTGGAGGCTGCTACATTATCATCTTACCCTACGAGCACCGGCCATAGTAAGGCAACTGTGGAGACACCACACACCCGGAGGGGCGCAGCCCTCAGGGATTGTCAGAGAAGCCCGCGGTCCTGAGAGCACAGCCTCTCTGGCTGGGTTCACTCATTTCCTGAAGCACAGGGGAAGGAGCGCTTTTGCAAAGGCTGGAAAACCAACTGGGCCACGAAAGAGTTAGCTTTCGAGAAAGCATGGACAACCACCTTTTCAAGAAGTGAGAGTTAAAACATTTCTCTTTGTTCAAACTGAAAAGGTAATTCTATAGAATGAACGCTTCTAAAGGCTCCGGGTCCTGCTGTAGGGTCAGAGCCCAAGATGGGATAAGAATGCAGAAAGGGAACTCCTTCCTCCCGCAGCTCTGCCAGGAATCCTAATAGTCTTCTGACTTTTGATCTCTGAGAAAAGGAAGGAAAAAGAAAGGAGACACGACTAACTACTCAAAGACAAAACAATTGAAAAGTCCCTTCAGATTTCCTGCCAACATCATTGGATCCCCGCGCCTCACGTTTCCGCCTCTGCTAAGTGCACCCAGTGCTAGTCACTGACGCAGGCTTGGCAGGAGCGCTATCGGGGCCATGTGAGCGCAAGTGCTCCAGGAACCCACCCTAGGAAAGCAAGCGCAAAACGGAATCAGTCAGACCAGTCATTACCACCCTAAGCAAAGGTACAATGTAGACATTAAATAACATGCAGGCTTCCCTGTAAATGTTAATTATGCAAAACAAGCCCTAATTTTTCCATCAAATACGGCTTTGTATGATTACCTATGTAAATGAGACCAGGGAATAGAAGAAAAGTCTACATTGGGGAACAACTACTACTATGAAAGAAAAACTAGGGAAGAACTATAAAGCAAGAATGGTCATTTTACATGCTAATAACCTACCTTTTATTTCAAAATTATTAACAAAGAGAAAATGATCCAATATCTTTTATCTAATAATCAAGGGTGCTGTATGTGACGCTAGCATTCAGGACTTAGAAAAAGCACTGCTGTTGGTGTAAATGCTACAGCCTATGGAAGGCTGTGGGAGGTCAGTCAAGATAACGCTACTGTGCATAAATGTTCAAGTATATCTAGTGGCTGAAGAGTAAGGGAAAGTCACAGAGGTGACAATGTAAAGTCATTTTGCTTATGAAAGTATCTCAAGATTAAAAACTTTCAAGGGTCAGCCAAACAGCTCAGTGGATTAAAGAGCCTTCTTAGGCATACTCAGGGGCCAGGAGTTCGATCCCCGAGCCTGCCAGGCCGGCTCGCCCCTGGGGCCCACCCAGACGGCAACTGAGACTGGGCGTGGTGGCGCGCGCCTGTAACCCCAGCACTTGGGAGGCTGTAGACAGGAGGATCACTACGAGTTTGATCTATGCAGTGAGACCCTGCAGACCCTGTCCTAAATACAAACAAAACCAAAACCAAAAAACCTCTTCAATTTTTAAGTTACAAATCAAATGTGTGACCGGTAAAAACTTCTTAGAACACATTTTTGAAACACTGATTCAGAAAGGAGTATGAAACAAAAAGCCAAAGGTAAGAGTGACACAGAGACAGAAAAAACAAAACCCTAACACAATGAGATGCATAGAGACAGACCACAAGGTCACCAGAGTAAAAACACAAAACAGCGGCAGATCATTTTAAGCAAATGGTTTTTACACAACTTTAACAAACAGATGAAGTAGCCTAATGACAAGTCTAACTAGAGACTTAAATCTTTTACATAGAGTTTAACACTAAGCACTAATAAAATATAGCCAAAAATTAACAGTCCTCTTATTGTTTCTCTGGTGTGAGAAACCAAAAGTGTAAACAAAGACCAAAATGTATAATGAATACTGTGCAACAGGAAGAAAATGTTCAAATGGAGAGGGAAAAAGGAGGGGCAAGGGAAAGAAGGGAAAAGGGAAAAGAAGGCGAACTGAAGGAACAATGGAAACCAAGCTTTTGTAAATGGGGAGGGGTTGAAGGAAGGGAGGGGAATCGGGGAAAGGACAGGATCAACTTGTATCACGTACAGGTACAAATTCTCTATGATGAATGCGATCATTATGTACCCCTAAAATGTACCAATAAAATCTGATCGGAGAATAAAAGACGCATAACGCATAGCAGTGGCTACATACGTGATGTTTGGCAAGTTCAACTTCAATGGCTTTCGGGTCACCGCCAACGGGCTTCTGCTCACTCAGCAAGCCCTCCGTGTGTGTCAGCCACGCCAAGAGCTCGTCTAGCGCATGCTGAAACTGCCCCAGGGCCAGCAGCGCACCCTCCAACTTGTGCTATCAAAAAAGCATAGGAAGAAAATCCATTTAGGAGTCCAACGTTAAGAATGACACGCATTAAAACAGGGGCAAAAATCTACTGTTTCACACTGTTTAAGTCCGTAAGCCTATAAAAATTAATCATTATATCCTTCTACATTTTTAGTTTAACATCCTTCTTGGATTAAAAAAATGGCATGACCAGGTCCATTTCTAATAAAACAAGACCTGATTTTTAATAATCATTTTACAGTAACACCCGAGACTCCCCATGCACGCCTTCTTAGCACAAGTCTTAGCTCTTACCTGCCGGTTGACAATTCTCTCGTCCAGGCTGTCCCATATCAGCTTCAGCTCCATTAGTGGGTCTTGAACAGTGTGCTTGTCGCTCTCCTCCTTTACTTTCTTCAGTAAAAGTTCTGCTTGATGGTTCAGCCTCTCCATTTCTATCTGTTGTTGGTAAGCCTCCGACTTAAATTGCTATAGAAAAAAAGAGACATATGCAAGGAAAACATTTTACACGTCATAACTTTAAACCAAAAGGATTCTGTGGGTCAGAACTTTCTATCTGCAAGGTTTTCAAGGTGGAACTTATTTTCAATATCTAATTACATATATTCAAAAATGAGTTAAAATTACAGGAAACAAAAATTATATTAACATATGTAAATCAGAAAACAATGTCTTTAAGAAACTCAGTATTATTTTCTCTAAACATCCAGCTCTTGCATCCCTGATTACTATTTTTTTTTGCGGCTGTGCTGCATTTAGTATTTATTCAGTATTTAGCTATTCTCATGCCTCACCCCCTGTGGCAGCAGAATAACTAAATATTCTCATGGAATAATCTGTTACTCAAGGAATTTATTTTTTATTCCTTTTATTTCTTCCTAAAGACGAGAACTTTGTTTTGTTATTCCTTGAATAACATACTACTCTCTCTTCTGGTGCTTCCTCTACCATTAATAATCTTGGCTTGCCAACAATAGGCTAGGTAATGGTTGCTTATAACGAAAACTGTCATCTCATAAAATATCTTTATAAAATATTTATTTGAATCTAGAATAATAAATAATGCCTACACAGTCCCTTTATTTCCTTTCAAACATATGGGAGTAATAATTAAGAAATAGTAACTAAATTCAACAGTTGTTCTGAACAGTTCAAATTATTCTCAACCAGCTTATAAGGAGAATAACTTTATCGTTCAGTGAAGCTGAGGATGCAGCAGCAGTAACCTTCCTGAGGTCAGCTGTCTAGTCAGCTGGACGACTGAGACGAGTGGACCCCAGAGTGAGCGCTCGTGACCAGCCTGCCGAGAGCCGGGATGCTCACCTATTCAGACTGAACTCCGCATCTGTAACTGTACATAAAATAGACCATGTGTTTACAACACACGAGACAAGTAAAACCAGAACAAACAAAACCCCTCAATCTAATGACGGCAGCAGTAAAAGTCTCAAAAAAGAATTTGACTCTAAATACAGAATTCTACCAGACTTACTGCTACAGCTTTAAAGCCAGGCTGTAATTTGACATAAATGCCAAATTGAGATCTCTGACAGTGGTCTCTGTATGAAGAATTAGGAAGAAAACCACTGATCTCACTTCATGGGATAAGAGAACTCAAAGAGAAAAAAAAGAGTCCAGCCACTTTCACAAATGAAGGAACCACAAAAGCAGGAGAAAGTGCACCGAAATGCTCGCACAGGCCATGAGGGTAAGAGAAGAGACCAAGGAGGGAAGCACAAATTCATCACTGTGCAAACATTTTGGGAAACGGTATTATACTACGGATGCACTTCTGGCCTTTAAGACTACTACAGACACTCTGAACACGTGAAGACCTTAAAAATGTTGCAGTGTGTGTTAGACTGGTTATAATCTAATAGTATAATCTAAATATGCTCCACCACCCCTCCCCACACACACTATGTTCTCTCTTGCTCCAACATGAGGATATCTGAAAGCTTCTCTATGAACTCCCATGAGTAGCTGTTTCTGGATACATAACATTTTGGGTCACTTAGAAAAACTGTTTGGTTCTTTTTTGTATATTCTGGTTTTTCTACATTTAACAGGTATAAAAAGAAAACAACGAAGCTTTATTTCCTTTAATTAGTGAGCCCTTGTCTAGCTTACTACATGTAGGCATTGTATTAAACCAGTTTCAAAATCAAAGTTTAATGCCTTCAATATGTTAAATTCATGTAAGAATTTTGTGACTCAAGAATCTAAAAATGGAAGGCTGTTCTACAAAATGTCCTAAGGTAGAACACCTTAGCACATACAAGAGGCTCTCTGTATTAGATGCCTAGCACCAAAAACAAAAACAATACAAATAAACATTAAAAAAAGAACTTTAAATATGCTAGGAAGTCTCTGATAAATTACTTAGCTTCCACAAATACCTTTAGCTCTTCAATCTGCTGCTTGACAGTCTCAAGATCTGTTCCAATTGGAGACATTGATGCTAATTTTCCACCTGCAATATCCATCCAGTCGAATACTGCCTGGAAGACATATTAGTCCAGGGGTTATCATAAAGGCGCATTTGACAATGCCACATTATCTCATGTACAACAGGACACCCATAAATCTATGAAGATATTATGGAAATAACTCATTTTATAAAAATTAAAATGGTTTTCCTCAACAGAAGCAGCACAATAATGGAGGGTCCCAAATAGTAGATATTATAATCTTCAAGTGTGCATTCAAGTTTTCAAAAGAAATTCTTTTTTCTCTCTATATATTTGGATCTGCTCCATTTCTGTGAAGCTTTAAGCTACTCTCTCGGAAGTCAGGAGAGTGGGTTCCCCTTGGGGCGGGGGAGATTAATCAGAGGAAGGAGGTACGGGAAGGTGTCAGCAGTGCCAGTCAGGGTCAGCTGTTGTGGGCATGGGTCACACAGGTGAGTTTGTCTGTGAATATTAAGTGAACTGCATATTTTTTGTTTGCATAAGTGTCCTACTTCAATAAATTTATCCTTAAATATACAAATCATGTTTCCAGCTTATTTCCTCCCTGGAGGATATAAAAAGAGTCAGATGCTTGTGGCTGGTACATACTTCTCTGTTTAATCTTGGCATGTTTAAAATAAAGCCTCTTTTGTTTCTTTTTTATGTATTTGGTATAGGGTCTCACTACGCAGCTCGGACTTGTAGTGAGCCTCCTATTTTCAGACTCCCCAGTGCTGGGATTACAGGTGTGTGCCACTATGCCTGGAGTTGGTTGCCTCCACTGGTTCAGCGTGCCTGGGGGTGGGGCTGGCATGGCATGTGATGTTGGGGATCAAACCCCAGTCCCTGAGCTTGCCTAAGCAGGCACTTAGTCTGCTGAGCTATCTCACCTGCCTTCTCTTCAAAAGAAATTCTTTACTGAATAGATTCTCAGATGATTAAAAGCTTTTTCAAAAAAGTTTATTTGAAAAAATTATAAATTCAAACAAAATTAAATTCCCTACATTCTCTTAATTTTTTCCATAATTTTATTGAGAAACAAATAGCAATGAGACAGTTTCAAACCAAATTGGTAGGTCAGTTTCAATAATTAACACATTGCATACATTCTTCCTAGTGGTTAATTGCTGTACAAGATGCAGACATGATATCCTATTTACAAACACCATTAGAACAAATCCCTCTATTCATTAAGAGAATGTAACTATATATCTATCCTAACCATTTTGAATACACAGATACAAAATGGACATTCATCTGTATCCCCATTTCTTGTTTAGTTCTGTTATTTGAATATTATAGGTGTGTAAACTCAGCAAAATATTCTAAAAGAGTCCATTAGCCCATAATAGTATTGGGTCTTCCGCTTCACTGGCAATGTCAGAAATTGTTGACCTGACTCCCCTATAGCTCAACAATAACAGCATGGCTTTACTTCGTTTTTATACTTTTCTGCTGGATGGTTAAGACCAAGGTAAAGCAAGTCCTCTGCAACAAGAGTTGTAGCTTTTGGGTCTGATAAGGTCAGTGAAATCCTCTCAGGATTTATCCTGAGATCCTGTACCTCAGATTGTAGAACCTTTGTCAGTGTCAGCCATGTGGATGAGTCACCCTACATTCTCCTATGTAAAATATACTAAAGAAAATGTTCTAAACCCATCTATTTATTGAATAAAGAAAGAAGTTCACTGTTCCATATCTGGTTCAATTAAATCCGTATGTAAATTTAGATTAGCATTAAAGTCCTGCATATGTAAATAAATCATTAATACTGCGACCATTACTCTGAATGGCAACACAGATTTTATAGTTCTCTTCTCTATTCTTTTTAGGTAATATAAATATTCTAGAAAGGCTCAACCAAGTTGTTGTCATTTTGCCCTTTAATGAAGTTGCCAGACTAGATGATAGCAGTGGGAAAAATCCTGGAAAATACCTAACATTTTAAAGTTATGCTTAATCAACCCTAAGAACTGGAGCTGTAACCTGGGAAATAAAGTGTATTTCACTTAATGATGAACTTTAGACCGCATGGAGCTTCTGGGGTTTTGGACATCTAATGACACTCCCAGAGCTATTTGTAAACCACGATGTGCTTCATGGCCAACAGGTGGTGTGAACGTCCTAAGAACTACAAAGGGCCTTGCTTCTCTGGCAGGAACAGGGCTGGTGTGCAGGTCATGGCAACCTGCCTATGGTGGTGCTCGCACTCCCAGCCCTGGGGGACAGTGGGGCTCAATGACCACCACCACCCCCGGCTGGACAGGGGGAAGGCTGCCATCCCATGTAGGCACTGCTAGACAACACTATGTACTAATGAATTACTGAGGGGTGATATGATAAGGGTTATCTGTAGTGAATTTCTCATATATTTCCGAAGCTCAAAGCCCTTTTCAGTTGACTTAAAGCCTGGCTGGTGATATTTATTTTGACAAACACAGTAATGGAGCGGCATAATGAAAAAGGAAAAGATGTTCTCATCTGAGCTTTAAGAATAATATTCATTTAGTATTATGAAAATACAGATATGGACTTTTTTCCATATGCTAAGAAGGATGAAAGATTAAATGCCTGCCAGCCTGTTAGGATATGGAACAAAGTCAAGGAGGTGGCTACAAAAATCCCTGAATATGTCTTGACTGACAGGAGAATTTTTAATATTAAGAGAATCAATCTGTGAATGGTTAATGAACTGAATGAGAGCCTTTAAGAAATATGAAAAACAACTATTAAAACGAAGTATATTTATGGAAAAAAGAACATCTTTTACATACTCGATTATGACCTAATAAAACAGAAATCTATTTTGGTCCAGGGAGAACACTGGCTTCAAATCAAATTTCCTTACTTTTGACTTTAAACTTGGAGATATTTTTAGATGGTGTTTACTCCTTTCACCTCATTCCACTCAATGTTAGAAAAGAATCGAGGCTCGGCTCCATTTCACTGTTCAGCACTGAACCACTAATGAAAAAGACTGCGTAGGAACATTTACTCTTACTTTTTTTAAGAAAAGTAAAACATTCATTTTAAAGTAAATTTCCCTGTGTGTACGCAGAGCAGTGTGCGTAGCTGTGCACATGACTTAACACACCCAAGGGTCAGAAACTGATTCTTAAAGGCAAAACCAGATCCAATGAGCTGGGAAAAGGACCGAGAAGCTCTACCCGCATTGGCACGCGAGCCTGCGGGCCCGGGTGGTGCCCGGCTGCACGCTTCTGGCCAGCCCCAGCCCTACCTGCAGCCCATCCTGGTACTGCACAGCGGTCTGCATAGCCTCCTCCAGTCGGTCAGTTCGATCTTTCCAAGCCTTGTTTAGAGAATCCCATGCTGAATTTAGCTAAAAATAGCAATGTTGTACCAAGTTTTAGTACCAAGTTTAATTTTTCAATGACTTTGAACAAATACATTTTAGTTAGCTAAGTGTTAGAAGAGGATTCTCCAAGAGCACAGGAGCAGGCTGTACCTCATCTATGCTCTTCTTGACAATGGGCTTATCCGGCTCCCCGCACGCAGCGATGAGCTCCGAGCCCAGGTTAACGACCATGTCCAGCTCTTCCTGAAGCCCATCTATCTCTTCCCGTATGGCCTAGAATAAGAAAATAGAAGCCTTATGTTACAGAGTTGGACACAAAGATGCTGGCGGAAGTCATTTCTAGAATTGGGAATTAGAATTATTTTCATTTCTTTTTTCTGTTTCCCAACTTTCTGCTACAAATAAGTGCAGAAGTGTAAGCAAGCACCATTAGTCACACTGTGTGTAGAGTACTTTGCAGAAGGAAAGCATTATGGGAACAGAGAAGGTATTAATTATATAAGACCTATATGGGGCTTACTAATACAACCGAGCACTGATTCTTGAGCAGGATTTGCCACAGCCCACAGGAGGCAGGGCGGGCCTTACCGAGCATAGTAAAATAGGTCTAGAAAGAAGACTGGCAGCACAGAGAGCTGGGAAGGAAGGGATGCTGCACTTCAGCTTACTCTGGAACCACCCCCCCACCCCATCTTCAAGGAAGAAAAAAGAAAGAAAGAAATAACAGGCCCCAGAACAGGGAAGAAGCGGTGGAGATGGAGAGAAGTTATTTTGCAGCCACATCTTTAAGTAGAATTTATGAGTGCATTCTACTTCCTACTACATGTTAAGAATCAAATATAAATCTTAAGAGTAATTCCTAATATTTGCCAGAGGAATGAAGGCTTCACTGGGCCATAATTTGTACTTTTGCACTTCAACTTTAATCTTCTTTATTTGGTACAGGGTCTCAACTATGCAGCTCAGACTCATAGTGATCCTCCTGTTGTCAGCCTCCCCAGCGCTGGAATTACAGGCGTGTGCCACCACTCCCGGTTTTGGTGGTTGGCCTGGCACATCCGAGGTTCTGGGGCTGGCACGGTACCAGGGATCGAACCTGGGTTACTGCACTTGCCAAGCTGGCGCTTACACCGCCAAGCTATCTCTCTAACCCCTGCACTTCAACTTTAAATGAGACTTTCTGCTTACCTCTGCTGCTTCTTGCTGCTGTTTTACTACTGAGGGGTCAATTCCAGGATCTTCCAGGTCCCGAATGAGATCTTGAGTATCTTTAGTAGTAACCACGAGAGCCAGGTGGTCGCACCAGAACTTTTCTGCTAGTTCCATAACGTCCAGTAGTTTGGCTTCCCTTTCTTCCACCAGCGTGTGTATGTTCTCCCAAATGAAAACCATTTGGTCAAGCTTATCCCTAACAGCTATGAAACAAGGGCACTGGAGTTAGCTTCACTAAGCAAGACATTTTAGCTTATACCAAAAAGCAATTAAGTCAACTAAGTATATAAAATTGGTTCTGGTGTTGGTTGATAGCAGTCTGGTGGGTATCAATGGGCCCAAAGGCGCTACCAGAAAATGCAAAGCGAAGGGCTCTTCTACTTTTGTGGGACCGAGAACTTTCTTGACCAATGTCAAGGTTTAAAGCTATTATACTCAGAAAAGACCCAAGTTTACCAAGTTTTAAGTTTATTAAGGTTTAACCCAAAAGAAAGTGAAGTACCACCTGACTGACTATACTGTTTACAATCTCAAAGAATACACTGTCTGGTCAGTCCCGAGAGTACGAAGATGTAGGAATGTATTTCAGGCTTGGGCTACAGGATCTTATCATGAATTTCTACAACGTACATGTTCTTCCTACTGATCCTCGTGCACTAAGACAGCTGATTAATATCCTGGGTGTATTTCTGTGGTTATGAAATAGGACAGGCCTACTATATAACAGTACAGTCACTAATGAGAAAAAAATACATATAAAAAAACCCCTATTTATCCTGATTAACATCATGCTTTAACCTGCTTGTTTCAAATACCCGCAGAACCCATGGTTTTTGCATAATAGCACACATTGTATTGAACTGATTAACTTCACAAACACAGGAAGAAACACATAGTACTTCAACCCTAAACACTTCACATTTGTGATTTTCCAAGTTCTTTTCCAAGATCTGGCATTTTGTTGTGCAACTGGACTGTCAGAGAACAGCATAAAATTTACGGCCGCTGTACGAGTAAAGCTGAATTGTTTCATTGTCCCATAACTATTACCTTTGGCAGACACGTCTTTATCGGCACCCCCAGATCTAGCGATCATTTCCTCTCCCCTCAGCTTAAGAGTTTCGTACAATGGCTGCAGCTTCTCCATGTCTACCGACACATTCTTGTTTTCACTGATCTGCTCCTTTATCTTCTCCACCTCAGCAGAGATGGATGGCGGCTGCCTCAGACGCTCTACAACACGCTCCAGGCTCTCACGGATCTGGTCAATCTTGTCATGGAACTAGTGGCAAAGCAAAGAATCATTTATGGGGCAAAGATCTATAATACTACATGTGATATTTAACTGAAAAACATCACATTTATTCAATTCTGAACAAAATTGCAGTCCCTTTATCAAGATAACTATCAAGAGTTAGATTTAGCTAAGAAGACTTTGCTGAAATTATAAATTGTATGTTGTTCTGCATCATATCACTTGTACAACAGTTTCTTATATGCAATTAGATATCATCAATAAATGATGTATGTTCATATACAGGTGGACCATGCAGCAACAACATCATTTTAGCCTACTGTTTCATATTATCATAATTCAAATAAATTTTTAAAAATCTGTTCAATAGGGGCCGGGGAGATGGCTCAGTAGAATAAGCAAGTGTAAGGGCCTGAGTTCAATCCCCGGTTCCGGGAAAAAAAAAAAAAATCTGTTCAATAAACAGGTCTTTGTCTACTTAAAGTAATTGTTTTCTCCATTTGTTCATGACATTTTGGCATCCTACAAAGTTATATTATTAAACGTGAAATTGATGGACAGTTTTCACTAGATTTAAGGGACTGCTTACTTTATACACTTCTGGAGCTAAAAAAAAGTTCAAAAATTAAATAAAACAAAACTTACCTCAATATTCTAGTTAATAAAAAAATACTCTAATGTTTGTGTTTGGGGCAGGGACTGTAGCTCAGTGGCACAGCTGAAGCTGGTTCTGGGGTTCGATATCCAGTGTCTTTCCCTATAAGTCTGTATTTAATTAATAATCAAACATACAACTAGATACATGAAATAATCCCAAATGTTTGTTGGTAAAAAGTATCACAGACAAAGTTATAAAAAACGGATTCTTTCATAATTTCTACACTATCCTCAAAATTAAGTGAATCATCACTCAGGACTACAGAAAATGGCGACTCGAATATCCTGCATCTAATGATGAAAATGAAACCTTAAAAATGCAAGACCTATAGGTAACTTCAAATTTAACTACTTGAAAAAATAAATAAATAAATTTAACTACTTGAAAGAGAAATTTTCTTTTCTTTCATTTATTTATTGTATTTTAGGGAATAGTCTACAGGGTGTTCAGGGTCTCACTACTAGATCGGACAGCCTCCCAAGAGCTGGGATTACAGGCACATGCCACCATGCCCAGTCTCAATTGCTGTCTCAGCGTGCCCTGGGGGTCAGGTCGGCACAACAGGCCCCTGCACCTGCTTGCAGGTGCTTTAATCCACTGAGCTATTTGGCCGGCCCTGCAAAAGATATTTTCGAAGAAAAAAAAATCCACTTGGAACTTTATATTCTCAATATTTTTGCTGGCTGATCATTTAGTGTTTCCTCTATTTTATTTATTTATTTTTTAATGCATTTAGTTCAGGGTCTCACTATGCAGCTCGGACTCATAGCCTATCCTCCTGTCTCGGCCTCTCCAGTGTGAGATTATAGGCATGCACCACCATTCCCAGACTTAGTGGCCAGCTCAAGGTGCCCAGGAGTGGGGCTGGCATGGCATGTGAAGCTGGGGATTGAACCCCTGTCCCTGGGCCTGTGCTTGCCCAATCAGGTGCTTAGTTCGCTGAGCTATCTAGCAAGCCCTACCAGTTTATTAATAATGAGAGGGACACATTCTATCCCCAAGGGTAACATAACTTTCCATCAGGACTGGCACTAAATTAAATAACTGTACAATGAAAGAAACTGTAGTTTTTAGTCACCTGAATTATTTTTTACTGTATCTTGGAACAGGTGAAACTTGTAAGAGGACGTAAGCAAACATCACCTTTGAGAGACCACGTGTAAATGATCTGAGTGAGAGAAGTAATTACGGCTGAAATTTAATGAGGAAATTCATAAAATCCCTCCTCATGCTGTACTGTGTAGAAGAACAAAATTCTATTTCGAGTGCAAATGATTACCTGAGTTGATTGAGCCATGGCTTCATCCAGGGCCACGGCGCGCTTTTTAACATCTTCTTTAATTTGACTGTAAAGGGTATCAGCTGCCACATACTTCTCTTGAATAGAAAAGCCTTCCCCTGGGCTCAATTCCAGTAACTGTGGCCCAGTCTTGTTCATCTTATCTATGTGTGGCTTGTGTTCGGCGATCAACTCTCGCAGTTGCTATGACAAACCAAACAGTTTCTCAGTCTCTCAGGGTTACACCTCCACATGACAGCTGTCTACACACCAAGCCTTCATTTGGCGAGAAACTCCAAACAAATGCCTGGATGAGATGGCCCTAACACAAAGGCTGAGCAGTTGAGTCACACCACAACCCCTTTTTAGGGATACATAAAAATGCTGGTGGAAAGAAACAATGACTCCCAGTTCACTACGCATTTCATACCCTCAGCAGCATGTTCTGACAAGAAAATTAGCTGAGGGCCATCTATTTTACATAAACGCATTCTTAACTCCTATGTCCTCACAGATAATAAACCCTAATCTCAGTATTCCTTTTTGCATATTTATGTTATTTACAAACGCATACAAGGGGAAGGGGGGAGGGAGAAAGGATAAAGGGAAAAGGAAAGAAGCTCGTAGAATGTGGACACAAAGCTGCAAAAAGAACTCAAAGCATTGTACACCCACATGACATTGCATTTACATCCATAAACCATTATAAGATGGACATGCAGAGATACTACTGTACTGTACGAGGTGTGGCCAAAGTACAGGGCAAATGCTTAAGCACAATGCCCCAACGTCTCCTGTGTTTGGAAGGTGACTGGAATGACCAGAGCACTATACTCGTCCTTGAATTAATCCACTGGAGATGAGAGCTGAACGCACCGCTAGAGCCGAGGCCTATCTGGAGGGTCCGTGTCACTGAGGACAAGGAAGGCATGCCCCCGCCCCCACTCCTCCCTCTCCCCCTGCGTCCAGGCCACCATGCACGAGCAGCTTCCTCCACCAGGACCTCTCAGCAGGCCTCCTGTGCCTGGGAGCTTGCCAAGCACAGACCAAACACACTGAAAGCAACCGGGTAAGCCTCTCGTGACAGAAAAGCTGAATAATACAGTCTCTCTCAAAGTACTGCCCCTCACTTCAAACACATTTATCCCAGCCTTCTTGTCACTTTCTGAAGTCATTCTGATCCCCTTTTGTGAATGTCTTTGGCAGGTCTGATACAATACAGTGAATACCAAAGCCCACGCCCATCCAGAGGGAGGGCGAGCCCGCAAAAGCACGTCCTCTTCCACTGTGTCCACTGCACCCGACACGTGCTGACTTCTGGCTCTTCCCCGAAGTCCAAATGACCATGTGAGGTGAACAATTTCAACTGACTCCGGACAAGAACAACTAAAGATATTCATAGAAGACAACTTCCAAAACTGATACAAGCGGCAAAAATGATGCAGTACGTATGTGTGAAGTGGGGGTGGTACTTTAAGAGGGGTTAATGGCAACGTACCTTTTACTATACATACAAAATTGTAAATTTAAACATTCATTCTACTGCTTTTAAGAAATTTTTCTTTTTTTTTTATTTTAACTTTTATTTTTTAACTGTGGTGCAGTTTGGACTCGTAGTGATCCTCCTGTCTCAGCTTCCCCAGTGCTGGGATTACAGACATGCACCACAACACCCAGTTTCAGGGCTGGCAGAGTGCCTGCAGTTCCAGGGCCAATATAGCCTGTGGTACCAGGGATCAAACTTGGGTCCTTGAGCTTTCCAGGCATGTGCTTAGACCACCAAGCTACTCCCCCAGCCCTCACTGTAGTTTTGATCATGCCTTGTGTATGTGTATGTTAAGGTTCTAACCTCTATGTATTTATGACATCTGGACATTACACATCCATATAAATGAACTTACTTCTTTTTGTTATTTTGAAACGTTCACAAGTTATCAATCTATCAACTATATAGCTATTTATTAAACGTTATATGTAAAACACATTTAAATAAATGCACGTGTCACATGAGTACGTTGCATAACTTTGCCATCTAATCAAGAGATACAGTGATAGTAATGCTAACAAGCGGAGGTGGAACCCAAGTGGAGTCCCCGGAAATGAGGTGTTGGGTGCCTGCTGAGGCCCGCATACCTCCACCTCATGGTCCTGGGCCACCCCGAGCAGTCAGTCACGGTCAGCACATGATGGATTCAGCTCCCTGCACAGCCCTCCCTGTGCTCACCAGAAGATGCACAGCATGTGGTTTGCTACCTAGCCCCCAGTAAGAGTTTCTGAGAGAAAGTATATACAAGAAAGACAGCCTAGAGGTAAGCTAGCAATTTTCTCCTTCAATTCTTAATAATTATCAAGAAGAATTATGGAGATGGGACTCACCTAGCTCTTTCTCAAAGTGTCCACTAAAAGCCATCTCACAGATGACCGTGAGAACTTGTCAGGAAAGCTGCCGCGTCATCATCTACTCTTAGTGTAATGTACCATTTTAAAAATTTTTCTAAAGGTGGCCTCAAAGTATGTTTGAAAAGGTAAACACAAATTCAATTTCAAAACGGGGTAAGATGTCTAATCAAAGATACTGCCCTGAACAACATGGCAGGCCCAGTCCTTGCAATCTAGCTTTCAGCTGTTCCTGACTGAGAGGGCACCCTTTCGTGCCTCTCTTCAAAACAGAGGTGGTGATGGCAGGAACAGTTACCCTTCAATCACGTGAGAAAGGAGAGAAGGTGGGGGACGTCGCCCAAGCGCAGCAAGGGATGCTTAGTCTCTCGGGTGAAATGCTGAGGTGCCCTGAGCCGCCTAGAGATCTCCTTCATGCAGCACGACCATGAGGCAGCCCAGCCTCAGTGGGGAAGCGTGAAATGAGCCCCATGTAGCCCACTTCATGACAGGTCAGGGGACACCAACCAGGTGTTTCTTCAGGCAATGTGTCCACGTGGGAAAAAAGTCTGAAAAAGAGATGCCTTTGCCTCACTTGTGACAAAATGTTTCTTGGAGACACACCGTGTGATGTTAAGACCTCCACAACTCGGTGACATGCCTTAGCAGCCATTTCTCATCCCTGGGCAGTATGAACTAGATCTTTCCCTAAAATAGCACAATGTGGACCCGGAGAGGACATGCCATTCTGGAGAGCTGCAAATACTCTGAACACTTTTAGTCTGCACATTTTGAAGAACTGGCCACAAATCTTATTTCTCTTTAAGTATACAATCGTAAATTTGTTTTGAGGGATTATACAAAAAAGGAAAATCAACTTAACTTGGAAATTTCATTTCTATACTGAAGCTCTCCTTACTATGTGAGGTTAAGTTAAAAACTCAAATCACCTCATAGTGGACAATCACAGAACATTTGATATTAAAAATTATTTAGTGAATAGGTATCAGGATATTTCTACAAGTAAACTAAATTTAAATTTAGTTCTACAGTTTGTCTCTTTTTTTAACTGAATGATTTAGAGAGTACACCACAAAATTTTCAAACTTCCTTAAGATATTCTCTAAAATTACCTTCTAGATAAATACAAGTAACAGATACTCTTCAACACCAATACATTTAAGAAGCAAACAATTAAGATCAATAAATATGTTATATATTCCAAACAGTGATGGATCTACCCCAAGTGAAAGCACCGCCCCTTGCACAACTCTCAAGAGTACATCTTGTACGGATCTGGGAGAACTAGGCTCACAAGTCCATAAATAGCAAGGACGCCTGAGTTTTTCTAACAGCCTTGAACCCTCTTTCCCCAAATCCTTGCAAAATTTTAAATGACATTAACAGTGGAGTCACTGCTAGAACGCAGGCTTCAGAATGCCACGCTATCTGTGTTTACACACTACAACTGTGGGAGTAAACACAGCTCTAGTGTGCGCACCTACACATAACAGGACCAAGAATGCCAGCGTCCTACCTACGTAAGGGGAAAAAAAGGAGGGACAAACTTGTCTCTGTACTTCAGCGTACAACCTTTTCAATGATTTCACAATATTGCTATTTTGATGTATTCACAATGTGTATATATTCTCCAAGCCCAAGAGTTTGTCTGTGGTGGCTCTGATTACCACAAATAGTCACCATGTATAAATCAAAAGCAATTCAACACACATGAACTGACAGCATTTCAAAAATCACATTTCTCTGACATTGGAAAATGGGATCTTCTTCTTCTCCTTCTCCTTCTTCTCCTTCTTCCTCTTCTTCCTCTTCCTCTTCTTCTTCTGTCTTTTTGAGACAGGGTCTCACGCTGCAGTTCAGGCTGGCTTTGAGCTCACTTTGTAGCCCAGGCTGGTTTCAAACTCACAACAATCCTCCTGCCTCAACCTCCTGGGTGCTGTAATTATAGGCATGTGCCACCAGCCCTGGTCAAAATGGGGTCTTCTTCACCCAGATGGTATATACTGCAACCTGTTCTGTAAGCTGTGATACAATTATGAAATACACATGCATTCTACCCACATAAGTCTTCTCACTGACTCCTAAGCAACAAGCTAAGCAGCTACTGAAATGAACTGTGCAGACTAGACTGCTGTCTAACAATGTTAATCAAAGCCACAGTTCTTTTTCAAAGGGGAATATCACACTGTTTTGCAGCCTGAACTTACCCGGTGTTCTTCCTGCTGCTGCCTTAAAGTTTCATACTCAAGGGCTGGAGCAGGAAGCTGAGAGATGATCCTCTGTGTTTCTGTCAGCCATGGCCAGAGTTCTTCGTATGTCTCCCAGAACTGGTTAACAAGGGACTGCGCCCGCTCCAGCTGCAGGTATCTCTCTGAGTTTATCTGGCAGATGGCATCATAGTTTTTCAATACCTTGTCCAGTTTGTTCTAGGAAATAAGAGGATGAAGCGTGTTTAATTGTCAGGCCAGCCAGCAGGCATGTTCCATGGTGTGCTGTCCACCACAACATGCCCTGCTGAGTAGACATGTATATGAAAGGAATACATCAATAAAAGCTATGAGGATTGTTTCCATGTAGAAAACCTCATTTTAAATTAAGGACGGACCTCAAGTGTTTATGACTAATACACTGAACTGTCTAAACATAGCAAGCAGAATTCTCCAGCCATTCTTAGAATGTTCTCAGGCTGGAAAACAAGTTTCTATCATTCACTCAACATTTACACTATTTTCCAGGGGAAAAAGAACTATTACTTGGAAATAAAACAGTAAGAACTACAAGTCAAGAAAATTACACAGATTAGAAGCAAAGTACAGTATTATCCTCTACACTGATTTTATGTGGCAGTCACAGGGATCTAGACAATGCTATACACTCACAATAAAAAATCAGGGAAGATAAGACAACAGTAACTCAACAAAACATTGCATGATCATCTACAATTTTCATGTCTGAATCTTTGCAAAAATAACGCACATTCAATTATAGACAAGTCACTGTCATACAGTGTAAATAAAAGTATCATCATACTTTGTGTGATCTATTACTCTATGATATACCTTAACAATGTGATCTTAGAGATGGACATTTGCATCTACCATGTTTGCCAAAAAATGTATACAAACTCGAGCAGTTTGCTATACAATCAACGTCTGGAAGAGCTTTTGCCCACCACTGTGAGCACCTCTCGTCACTGTAGAGGCCAAAGGTAATTTGGATTAATCTCATTATGTCTCAATAAATTGAGGATTAAAATACACATTTTTCTTTTCCTGATGTATACATCTTTTGGAAGTCTCTCTATTTATGTTTCTGCCATAGGGTATTTTCCTAGCAGAAGTCCTACTCTGTAGGATCATGAACACTACATTCATGGGATGCTCTTTTAATTACTCAGCTCACTTTGCCCCTCTGCAGCTTACTGCAACCTTATGCAGAATGGATTTCAGCATTGGAGAGAATCAGGTATTCTGGGTGTTGCTTCAGCTTGAGTCCTACATGCTCCTGAAGCTGACAGACGTAATAATTACAAGCATACTTAATTTCAGCTTATACTAAGTGAATGTTTAATGTGTAGCAGTTAACCAGGGACTCAAACTTTAACAGCTTTTCTGCTTTTAAAAAGAGGGCCTCATGATGATTCCCTGAAGGAATAGTCCTTTCACTGTTATTTTGTAAGCTTGTAAAAGTGTCTTACTTAAAACTAATGATTTTGCTGCTTAAACTGCCGCTATGGATAAAGACAAAGTGCTTTTCTAAGACCGAAAGCTCAACACATGCTGTTTACTTAAGAGTCTCATGACCAGTAACACAGTCAAGATTATACCTTCATTGATTGCTTTTCCTCTTCACTGCATGTGGCCATGATTTTATCTCCAGATTTAACAAGTTCATCAATAATATCCTTGTGCCTCAAAATCTCCATGGTGAACGTCTGATTTCCCCAGTAAAGAGTAAAAAAAAAAAAAAAAAAAAGAAAAGAAAAAGGAAAAAAAAAAAAAAAAAACGCATGACTACAAGAAAAACAATTAGGCAAAGTAGTTAAAAATACCAGAGGGTTCTTAACAAGTAAATCATGCCAGCTTATTTTCTAAACTTGGAGCACAGCAGCAAATAATTTCGATGGCAACTGGAAATGTGTTTCTTCACCTTTTGAACCTGCAGCTGAGCAGAGGTCTGGTCTTGCTCAAGCCTGATGTCACCCAGAGCCATCAATTTTTTCTCTGTTTCAGTAATCCAAGATAACTCAGCATCAGCAGCTTGGTCAAACTAAACAAAAGATAAATAATTAAGTCAGCAAGTTCCTGTAACTGGTGCCAGAAAAATACCTATCTGTGTTTTAAAACCTTCTCATTCTCCAAATGGAAACTGAGCTTATCGCTTCACGGTATCCTGCAATAATTCACAAGGAGGACTTCCACACAGCAATTAAATACAAGCTCTTAAAACTCAGTGAATCCAGTAAGACTGTAGTAATTATTTTACGTTGGATGGCCCCACTGCCTTCTGTATTGATTTGCTCCTTAAGAATGTAAGCCTAATGTAAAGCTATAAAATACAGTTAGCTACTATCTTTAACCATCTGTCCCGCCTAGCACCGCAACTCATGACGTACAGGTTGTGTTCCACTACCACAGCACCTGATCACAAGACAAAAGAATGAAATGTACTAATATACTATTACATTATGTGTATATATATATGCATGCGTAGATACATGACTCATGGATTCTCTTTAAACATCTCAGTAACAGCAGAAAACACTTTCAAAAGCATTATTCTTAAAAATCTTTAAGGGATTTTATTTTCTTGATCCCACTAGGAATTCACGGACATAGAAAAAATTCACAAGACCCAAGAAATGCATAAAAAATTAAAATTGGAAGTTAATATTGCTACTATGTCAGTAAATTTTCTTCCTAAAGTCAGGAGAAACTTACAAAGATCTTGCTTCTTAGTTTACTATGAACACTTCCCACATAATACTTTTACATGTGATTTTTAAAAAGCTCCACTGCAATCTAGCTTACCTGGGTATTTTCATTAAGCTCTCTGTATTTTTTAACTATGATATAAACAGGCCTATAGACTGTGCTTCTAGATGAACCCTTTGGTATCTCTAATTTGTTTTAGTGTAGCTTGCTAAGAGTGACTACCAAGTCCAAGAGGATTTCAATTACTTTCAACATTTTCAACGCCTTGTATCCGACAAACAACAATGCCTTTCTGGGCCAAGCAGCTATCACTGAAGAATGCAGCACGCAAGTGACAAGTACTGATGACAAACGGTAACTACAATAGAGGAATTAATGGGTGCACACTGCAAGTATGCAAGTCTAGTACTTCTAATTTTCTAAGAAAAGATGGAAATCTCAAGTAAGGGTGGAGGGATTAACTAGGTGAGGGAAGACAGGGAGAGAGATAAGAAACCAGGAAGTAACGTCAACCTTTAAAAGCTCTACAGAACTCTATTTTATAGCCTCCTGGGAAGATGGAATAGATAAACTTTTTTCAGTTCCTCTAATAACTACACCTAAAAACTCAGCATTATATACAAAACATACAAGAAGATTTGGCAAAGTGGAGACACAAGTCAGGTGGTCAGTGGCCCTTGCACCTCGAGGAACTGGGTACACTGTTGAGTTCTCTGGATTTCTTTGTATTTCACCTAATCAGGACTGAATACTGGGGAAGTGGTGACCCACTCATCATCAGCAGACACAACACAAAGCCCCGGACAACCCTGGCCTTTCTGGCAAAGGGGTAACAGCCACTCTACCCAACCAGCACCACAGCAAAAACCTGTGAGCCTACTCACACTCATGACAAGGAGGGGCCTCAACATGCATCTTTGTGAGGCCATAATGAGGTCCCAACATCCTTGTAAGGCGACACTAAGACAATAGTGGGAGCCAGAACTTCTTCACAGGATTACAACAAAGCCAATATCCTTGGTTCTAGAGACCATGAGTACAGCCTGGACCTCCACCCCAACCAACCAGTAATGAGCTATTCCTTTCTCTTCGAAGCGATGTCAAAGGAAGCCTTTGTGGAGTAAGGACTTGTACCACTGCTGAGTCTCTCACCTCTGTGGCCTCTCTCTCTGTGGCTGTGGTGTTGGTGGAGCTCACATGAGCAGCTGGCTCAGCAGCAATCACAGTCATCACCCCTGAAGAGCTGCAAGGCTGGGTGATGAAGTGGGACTTCTCTCTGTGCCAAGAGAGAGCAGCTTCTTCCACCAGGGTGGAATCCAGATGAGGCAGTTTCCATGGAACTGTTAACACCCAAGACTCCCAACATCTTAGAGCAAACAGGAAGACCTCAAACTGACGTCAAGAAATTCATCAAACAGATGCTTACAGAATTATCTGCCAAAGATTTTAAGGCAGCCATGATGAAATTTATGCTTCAATGAGCATTTCTGAACATTCACAGTTGAAACAAATGAAAAATCAGAAGTCTCAGCTACTGATAAATCCCTAATGGAAATTTCAGAACTGAAACAAAAATCAATGTAAGGGACACAGGAGAGATCAGCAGAAATCACTCAAACCGAATAGCAGAAGACAAAACGAAGAAGCCAGTTAATGGAGCCTTGGGCACCCGTGGAAGTATGTTAAGGCCAAATATTCATTTTGAGTCTCAGAAGGAGATGAAGTAGTGGCTGTGGCTCAGAAAGTACTCAACAATTCAACACTCTTGAAATGATGATATTATAGAAATGGAGAATGGGCTGGAGGTTGCCAGGAGCTCAGCAGGCATGGAGGTGGGAAGGCCTGGTGCAGCTACAGCAGGCAGCACAGGGCTCCGTGTGACGAAAGTGTTCTGTATCCTGATCGCATCACTGTCAGCATCCTGCTTGTGAGACTGCAATGTAATTCTGCAAAATGTTACCGGTGGGCAAGATGAGCATGATGGAATCTCTGTTATTTCTTACAAGCGTTAGTGAACCTCAGTAATCTTTTTTTTTTTTTAAACTTTATTTGTGTGTGTGTGTGTGTGTGTGTGTGTGGCCAGCTCAGCCCACCAGAGGGCGGGGCTGACTGGCATGTGGGGCTGGGGGATTGAACCATGGTCCCTGTGCTTTAGCTAAGCTTGTTCTAAGTAGGTGCCTTAGACCACTGAGCCATCTCACCAGCCCAAACCTCAGTAATCTTAAAACGAGTTCATTTTAGGGCCATCAAGATAGCTCAGTGAACTAAGTGCTGGCTTAGGCAAGTGCAGGGACCAGGGTTCGATCCCACCCTACTCCCCACATAGCCCCACCCCCAGGGCATGCTGAGCCAGCCACCAAGACTGGGCATAGGGGCACATGTCTGCAACCTCAGCAGTACGGAGGCTGAAAACAGGAGGATTACTACAAGTCCAAGCTGCATAGTGAGACCCTGTACCAAACATTAAAAAAGAAAGAGAAAAGCAGCTTTGTGGGTCACCCCTGACCAGCAAGTTCCTACTCACATTTTTCTCTTAAATTGCCCTAGGAGGTACTCATTCGTACACCTGCAAGCAGGGCTTTGCAGTATGCTCATTGATGGGGGTATAATTTATTTTTTAATGTTTGTTAAGAGTCCAGGTAGGCTGTATTTTTTTGTGTGTGTATCTCTTTTTTTTTTTATTTTTTATTTTTGGCGCAACCAGGGATTGAAATCAGGCCCTTGCGCTTGCCAGGGAAGTGCTTATTCCACTGAGCCATCTCCCCGGCCCCTAGGTAGGCTTTAATTAAAAGAAAACAAAAAGCTTTCTGAAAAGCACTATCTTAATGTTTCAGTAATTGTTATGGTATTACTACATTTCAAATGGAACTACTCAGTAATTATTGATCAATAAGCAAACAAAAGAAAAACATTTTGCAGACTAATTTAGCAGTCTCACATAGAGACAGAGGCACCACGAAGAAGGGAAAGTCTGGCTAGTGTGGACTACGGGTGTGTAAGGCATGTGTAATAGTTGTGGGCAGACTCTACATGACTTACCTACAAGAGTCTAAGACTGCTGAAAACAGTCTAAGTTTTTCTACCTAAGCATAAATGCTAAAAGATATCTAAATAAAATTTAATAGTCATGAATTATTCGTTCCACTGCTCTTGGGAAAAATGAAGAGACTCATCACCCTTCTTTTGCTTGTACTTCAACTGCTAAAAACACGACCTATGTATGAGAATCCTGATAAAGAAGCCTGGGCTTGCAAGTGTTCACGGCAGTCTAACATGATGATGTCTCTCCCCCATTACAGACAAACAAAGAGAATACCCAAGGAAAAGCAGTATGACAAGACCAGCGAGGCCACCGAAAGGAAAGCTGAAGCGCAAGCACTGTTCTTTAGTCAAATCAAATATTTGCTCTGCTAACAGAAAATAAGACTTCAAGCCAAAATTTTTCAGCCTTCTGAGAAATTATAAAGATAAATTAGCAAATATTTATTGTTATACAATCAGGAGAACAGCCATAAGGCTGTGACTCATTCAAATCCTGGGCTAACACGCATATTACTAATGGGCTATAAAACCAGCTTGTGCCTACACGTGAGCAACGTGCAGATAACTACTAGACCAAATGTTAACGACTCTGGAAGTCAGCAGGAAAAACTGACTTCAGCTACACCGTCAGTGGCCCTGGCACCTATAACTCTACTCTGAGGACTCTTTCAACAGGCAGCATGACTAGAGTCACAGTCCTGAGCCATTGTAACAGCTACTGCACCTGATCTGGCATTTCACACATTTTGTAAAAGTTAATAGAAGCCTCTCTAAGAGGCTATCTCTAAATATTCCTGAAAAATAATCGAACAAGACCAGACCACCACTCTACTGAACACTTTCAGTCTGTCCCTTAATTGAGACAACAAATACATAATGTTGGAATCACCCTTAATTCCAGTGGCGGCCAGGAAACTGAGGCAGAGCAGAGCTGACTGTTCTGCCCATCAGCAGGCAGGTCGTGCCACTCGGGGTCTAGCCACAGGGGCTGCACCCTTGCTCCCCATGCTTGGGACGCCTTGAGTGCCAGGAATCTGAATTATTAGTGTGATTTCACCCAAAATAGCTCAAGTTTCACAACCATCAGTAAGTACTAGGTTTTGCCATAATGTAGTATTTCTCTAACCTCTGACAAACTGTACTTGTCCAGAAACATATTTTTTAAGACAAGGGTGATCAGCAGACCTTCACTCAAGGACCGACTCTTTATTCCCTTCCTGGGCTGGGAATCTCATCATTTTCTGTTCATCAGCATTTCTTTCCACTCTGTGACTCATTTTTCATAACATGGGCCCTATTAACACCTGGAGCAGCTCAACAGTAACAAACCCCATTTCCACAGGGATGTTTTCTTCAGGGTCTTTAAAAGAAACAGGCAATACTTTTCTCTAAGGCTGATTCCTGATGACCCAGTGATCTGTTTGTTCATCCCACCCGAAACACCAGCTCTGGGCTTTCCTGTGCAGGTTATACTATGGAACCCACTTAGGTAAGCACGAAATGGAAGCTGCTGGAGCCCCAAGAATTCTCAAGTCAACTGAGAAACAGTAGCTGAGCACCTGCTGGTGGCTGGACATTTTGTAAGAGCAAGGACTAGGAATCTCTTAAGTAAGAACACCGTTACCTGTTTCTACAGGGCTCCTTCGGTTAAATCTGCAACTAGAAAAAGAAAGCAACAAAGATATACTGCTCAATGCAAAAACATTTATTACTCAGCTAATGGCATGGGTGGTAAGCGGGAGGCCGTCTAGCTCAGTGGCCCCATATCCTAAGCTGTCTTGGTTTCCCCAGATTCTGTGCTCAAAATAAGGAATGGGTCCATCTATTTTATTTATTTATTTACTTATTTAATTTGGCGGAACTGGGGATTGAACTCAGGTCCTTGCGCTTGCCAGGAAAGTGCTTATTCTACTGCGCCATCTCCCTCGCCCGGTCCATCTATTTTAAACAGGGTATCTTCCTCATATACCATTGTCTGGAAATCCATAGAATCAGACTGAGGGAATTTACTGACTAGTAATGCTGAGCACATGCAAGTCCAATACTTGCTCATAATTGAGGCTGTTCAATGGTTTTCCCAACCATTACAAACACTGCTTAAATTTACATAAAGTCTTTCCCGAGTCAAAATTCAACGGCATGTCTTTTCCAGACTGTTATGTGAGATGTAAGACCAACACACAAATCTAACATACTGAATCAGAACTTAAAAGAGAGTACATGTAAATCGGAAGTATGCGTGCTTGCTTTCTCCCTCTAAATTTTAAACTTCTATCTCCTTTTTCCTGTGGGTTGCTTTCTGGCATCGTCTACACTGATTTTTTTTTTAATGTATTTGGTTGTTGCAGGGTCTCACTACATAGCTCAGATTGTGGTGGTTATCCTGCCTTCGGCCTCGCCAGCACTGGGATCATAGGCATGCGCCACCACGCTTAGACCCAGTAGCTGGCTCAGCCCGCCATGGGGGCAGGACTGGGGCAGTATGTGGTGCCATACCGAGGATCGACCTTGGGCCCTTGCGCTTGCCTAAGCAGGTGCTTTAGTCTGCTGAGCTATCATATCACACCAGCCCCATCCAGACTGATATTTGCAGGTCAATCCACTCTGTGACAGCCACTTAATTGTTTACAATAGTGTACTTTATGAACTCCAAAAAGTTGTAACATGATTAAAGGAGGTAAGCTACAATAAACAACCTTAACCCAAGACAAAATATGAAATATCTTCGGAGATGTTTGTTTGAAAAGTAGAGCATTTAATCATGTAAAATCTAGTTTAATTCTGCTATGTTTTTCAGGGACATAATATTAAATTTATATACATTTCTAAATAGCCAATTAATGCTCAAAGCACACAACCTCATGTCATCATTAATCTGCTGAGGGTGGGGGCCCAGGAGGAGCCACTGTGAATAAAGAAAACTAGGCAAGACTAGAGGTGTGTCTAAGAAGAAACTGAATTAGCTCAGCTATGCCCACACTTCATAAGGAGAAGAGATGCAAACTGGGAGCAAAGTTTGTGATTACACTCGTCTAAAGCTGCTTTTTCCATTACTACCTCTATATTTTGAAAATAAACACTTTAATATCATTCCATAATCTGGTCTGAATTCTGAGAGCTGAGCAGCTTCTGCTTTGTGCAAGCTTACACAGTGACGTTAGCTCCCTTACAAGCATGAAAATCATGAGCTGTGAAGCTTATTTCTTACGAGTGAATTTAACTTTCTTAAGTGCAAAACTAAACCTCTGCTAAATCAGAAAGTCAAGTGCCTACACTGTTCTTGAATCTAACAGAACAATGTCTCGCGATTCTTTTCATTCTGTATTCTCATGTTCCATAGTCTTGAAAGTTTCAGATACTTTTATTACGGACTTTCATCTGGCCTCCATAAAGGCACGTTCTTCATTTGACTGAAGAAATTCAGAAAAGGTATGTCACTCCTCAGGATTTTTCCTTTCTATGTTAATTATAAAGAAACACCACAGCGAGGTAGATGAGAGCTAGATTAAATTCTAGTTGTGGCCCTGCTGCCTCCTAGCTGCAGGAGCACAGGCAAGGCGCCGCGTCACATGAGGCATGGCGCACCACAGGTGTTCCCGTGCTCTAAACACGCGAGTGTCCCTTCAGCCCTACTGGAGGGGTTCAGACTGCCGTCTCACAGGCACTCCCGACAAACGCAGGTATACATCCCTCATGCACAACCGGAAGACAGCACTGGCATGCGTACTAGCTCTGTGACCTAGCGGTCGAGTCTTTGTCTCTGTTTTTGCCTCTATCTCTCTGCCTACCTGTCTTGTCTGTCTGTCTGTCTGTCTGTCTCTCCCTCCCTGCCTCCTCCTCTCTCTCCCTCCCTCCCTCCCTCTCTCTTAAGGACAGCTAGAAGGAAACAAGGCAGTGATGGCAAACCTTTCAGAGCTTTCAATGATAACAAACAGCTCCTTCCTGCATGCGGGCCACAGGTTTGTCATCACTGATTACAGCCCAAAAGGTTTATACATTTTTGGTGCAGTTTTCTATATTCTTTAGGAAAATCCTCAGTATTTTCTATAAGGAATGATTTCATCAGTAACACACACACACACACACACACACACACACACACACACACCCCACACACACACAAATTTCCTAAAGGACAGACAGTAATTCCCCAACTTAAAAACACTGGATTTGTGAATTTCACAACTGCACTGTGTAAGACTCACTTTGCTGGATCTGAATGAATTTAACTTATGAACGTTCTCCTGGAAAGGAATTCTGTCGTAAGCTGGAGACTGGCTTATATTTAAGGTTCCACAAGACTTACACTGACCTGTTTAACTTTTTGTTTTAATTCTGGAAAACATCTGCAAAACCTTGAACAACGCTCTGCCACGGTTAATGACCTTGGCAGATAGCAAGTACACTCATCAATACTAATTCAAGCTGAGACACTACCCTTAGGCCTGTCTCACTTCACTGAGCTAACGTAATCAAATTCTCAGGAAAATTTTATTCCCAAGAATACAGAATATTTGTTTTACTATTTAGAGCAGTAGTAAATGCCAACTCTGAAATGTTCAAATAAATTTCAGTGAAAAAAATTCAGTGCTTTGGGGCTGGCCAGACAGCTCAGCGCACTACAGCGCCTGCTTAGGCAGAGCACAGGGGCCAGGGTTCGATTCCCCGCATGCCGGGCCGGTCCCTCCCCCGGGGCGCACTGAGACAGCCACTGAGACTGGGCGTGATGGCACTTGCCTATAATCCCAGCACTTGGGAGGCTGAAAACGGGAGAAACACTACAAGTCCAATCACTACAAGTCCAGTCTATGTAGTGAGTTCCTGTAGACCCTCTCCTAAATACATTAAAAAATAATAATAATTCAGTGCTTTTAAACAGTCCAAAAACTTCACAAATGAACACATTTATTCTACTATAATACTGAGGCATACACATTCCTCCAAACTTTAAAAATGGCCAGGCAAACACATTCCTCAGGCATGAGTGCCCTCCCTCGCAAACATTTCTTAGGCAGGGCTCTGCTATTGCTGCTTTCCATCAGCTCTGGGATTCCGGAGCACGGTGTTAGGGCGCAGAGCAGAGCGTCTCGCTTCAGAGCCACACACATCACACCGTTACGGCAGCAGCAGAACATCCACTGGGGAGGCTTGCACATAGTCGGTCTCGTTTGTTGCTTGTTTTTGGCTTGCTTTAGTAAACGCTTAGTCACACACCCTCTAAAGTACCCTGCTAGACCTTCTCACCTCCACCCCCAACGTCTGAATCACAGCCTGGTGACTTACCATGAAGAGTCACACAGACTTCCACTAAAAGTTAATCAGGAATTTGCCCCCAGGACCCCTTCCCTCACTGCCCACACGGCCCTCGGGGGCTGCGGCTGAGCGCCAGGCGTCACTGAGCTCTGGAGCCACAGGCAGGTCAGAAACCGTAATAGCTTCCCTTTCAGTCTTCTTTGGATAAAACTTCACATCTCCAACAGAACAATTTGCTTTTAAAAAGAATACTTTCTCTTTTTAAGATCTGCATGTAATGAATAGTGACTTACATACTAAGTCAAAATATTTAACAACAGATCCAGGGTCATCCGCGGCTTACAAGCATATACGCAGACAGAAGCACTGCGTAAGGAAAGCAGGGCCAGCCTTCGCAGCCTTCGCAGCAGCCAACTTGCAAGGCGAAGCCTGGGAACAGCGCCGCAGGCGGCAGTTAACAATGTACAGATTAAACTTGGTCTAGGCTCAGATGTAACTAGTCAAATTCTACTCAAATCCACCCTTTCATTTCTGAAGTACAACAAATGAATGGAAACACTGTTAACAGACCCCTTTGTTCAGGTAAAGGCTCCAGGAACAGCTGGAGAAAATTTATTGCGTAGAGAACAACCCGCTTATCTCTACCTGCTGGGACCGCAGAATGGCGGCATCGATCTCCTCCACCTTCTGGGTGACGGTGCTGCTCACGGCCTGGTAGCGCTCGTTGTCCTCTGCCACCATCTTCCCCAGGCCCTCTCTCGCCCTCCACGGTACCAATTCCAGCAAAGCGCTGCTTACTTCATTAAGGGAATCCAGTAAAGCTTTGTTGTTCTTAACTTCCTTGTTTAGCTCCTGAAACCACCAATGCATGGGTCACAGTGACTTAGCTGTTCTCGAGGCTACAGTCCTGTGCCGGCCGGGAAGGCCAGGCTTTGGTCCCTACAGCTTCAGCTGAGTTAAATAGACTTTTGTTATTTAAAGTTATTTTTCAAGATGGGAAAGCTTCTACAATTCATTCATCTATGTGGCAAGATTTTAGCTCTGAAATTTAACATAAATATCTAAAATCTGGAAAGCAGAACCAAGTAGGTTATCATGTATTTTTCTTTGTCTTCTGGAAGCCTCTCTGTAATCAGGTAACAACAAGAAGAGAAGAGGGGAGGAGGGGAGGAAGAGGAA